ATATATATATATATATATATATATATATATATATATATAAAATTGTATAATTCGCTGGCTCTTCTTCAGATTTGTATAATTTCGCTGGCTAACCATTAGTATAAATTGTTGTCAGTTTCTCGTTTGTATAAATCGTTGGCAGCCTATCTATTTAATTTTATATGTTTGTATATTCTTAATAAAATTTGAATTTGTATACAATTGAATTGAAATAAAACATTTATTTATTAAATATCACTATCTCTTTTTATACAAACATAAATTATATTTTATATTTTGTATAATTTGTGTTTATATAAACCGTGAAAGACAACATATTTGGTGTACCCTATCATTTTGAGGCAAGACATGTTAGCAGGTTTTTTGAAAACATTATCCCATTAAAATTTATCATTGACGTTTAGTTTTAAGAGTATTAGACAATTTGTTTTAGATTCTAGTTTTGATAGTAAACATTGATAGTTTTTATTCTACTTTGAGGACTATGTGTTGCATTGGTAAACAGAGTTGTGTTTTTTAGTACTATTGAACTGAAGTGTTCAAATATGCAATTTTATAAATGCCACCAAAATTGATACCTTAGCGGTAATGGTTAGAATCTTTACCGTCCTTTTTTAGAATTATCGCTAAAATTATTTGAAACATTAAATTCAGTGACAATTAACTAAGTATTTGTATTAGCAACAACTTATATGGCTGCAAAGGAAGAGAACATCATAACCAATGTCGTCTAATCGTAATTATTTGGTTTAGACACCTAAAATATTGAGGCTCGAAAGATTTTAATGGTAATTTTTATGATTTTATTTTCATCTAAGTTTAAATTTTATGTTAAGAAAAAGAAAAAAGAAAAACTATCTATATTTTACCAAAAATATTTTAAAACTTCGAATTAAATAACTCAAATCTTCATATTAATAAATAAAGTTTTACAATACTATCCTAGGTAATATATTGTAAACACATAACTGACATCCAATTAACTAGAATTAATTCTTAGATATATATTACTATGTGAGGCTAACTAAAAGTTTAATGTCATATAAGAATAATGTAATGAAAACAAGTATGTCAACAAATATGACTTTATTTATATTCTCTGTCTATATAATTAAGATTTTCATTTAAATTTTATCTTATACCACTAATTTTATTGAAATTCCTTGTCTCTATGTTGCAAATTTTAGGTTTACCTTTCCCTTTACCAGAAAATTGCAGACAAATAAATTAGTTTGAAGATTGGTATTGACGTTTACGCAATTACAAATTTCAGTCCATCAAAACAAAAGTATACAATATATTAAGCTAGAGGTGTGTGCTTATCGTTTTTCATTCATTCCATATGAGCATCTTAGGATTCACACTTTTTATATAACTAAACAAATACTAAGAAATATGGACTTTGATTTCCAAATCCCGTAAACAAAAACTTTTCTTTTAAGAAAACGAAGCTACACATGAATTTTGTGATTTGAATTTTGGTTCCCACACTCCACACAAATTTAAATTACGTGGCCCCATTTCTCCACGTTAGACAAATCAGAATCTTCCTCCAACTCTAAATATGCACGTCAACTCAACCCCACACATTCTATTAAAAATATGTTGTACGAAACCATGGAAACATCCTTTCCCAAGCCACACTAGAAAATTAAAAAAAAAAGAAAAAGAAACTCCTCACGTATCTAACACATGTCACACTTTCTTACCACATGAAACATATTTCTAGACTAGTGAATTTGATCGTGCGGTGTGATTATCCATTTTATAAGTTCATTATTAATTTAAAAATTGATTTACTACTATAGTTTATAATATGAACTAAATGATAATTTTACCCTATATATGCTCAAAAATTCGATAAATGTAAAACCATAAATCCTAACTTAGTGTGTGGTGTTTTCGCATAGATATCAAAAAAAAAAAGCAGAATGAAAAAAAATTGTCACGATCTAACATCGAAGGCACGATTTATGTTCGTTTGAAGTTAAAAAATTCACAACTACCCCTTTTACGTTACATTTGGTGAAACTTCAAATGACCGTAACTTTTGCGTCGAATATCATTTAGGGGCGTTTTTTTAAAAGTTGCTTATTTTTTTGATATCTACGTGGTAAACTCAATTCCTTTATTCGATTTGACTTTCATTTTTTCCTTTTAATTTTACCCTATATATGGTCAAGAACCAATAAATGTAAAACTATAAAACCTATCTTAGTGTGTGGTGTTGTTTCGCACGGATATCAAAAAATTAAGCAGATTGAAGAAAAATGCCTTGATAGGACATCGGGGCACGATTTATGTCTGTTTGAAGTTCAAAAATTCACAACTACCCATTTTATATTATATTGGGTGAAACTTCAAATTACCATAACTTTTGTCTCAAATATCTTTTAGAGACGATTTTTTTTAAAGTTGCTTATTTTTTTTGATATCTACGTGGTAAACTCAATTCCCTTATCTAATATGACTTATAATTTTCCTTATAATTTACCCTATATACGGCTCAAAAACCGATAAACGTAAAACTATAAATCATATCTCAATGTGAGGTATTTTTTCGCGTAGATATTAAAAAATATGCAGATTGAAATACAAAATTGCCTTGATCGTGTTAGGACCGAAAATAAGCAGGTGTAAATGCGGAAGCTAGCAAAGCAAACCTCAAAAGACCACGAGTAAGAAGGCAACGAGAAATATACCAAAAGACACAAAGATTTAACGTGGTTCGGTCAATTGACCTACGTCCACAAAGGAGATGAGCAATCCACTATAAATATGAGAGTACAAAATACAGAGGGAAACAACCTCAACCAATTTACTTGGAATACATGGGAGGTTCACACAAGTGATAACGTATCAAGCTTGTGACCCATAAATTCTCCCCCTAACCAAAACTCTCAAAGCTTTTAAGACTACATTGTGAATGTTGATTAAGTTAGAAGGAACATGCCTCTATTTATAGAGTCCTAAACATTTTCCTACCAGAAAAAGGATTAGTCAATCCAAAACCTTTTCCTAAAAGGAAAACCTATATATGGTAAGAAATTTAGGACAAATAAAACCTAACAGATCGGACATCGGAGGCATGATTTATATCCATTTGAAGTTCAAAATTCACAAGTACCCCTTTTACGTTACATTTGGTGAAACTTCAAATAACCGTAACTTTTGCCTTGAATATCTTTAAAAGACGATTCTTTTTTAAAGTTGCTTATTTTTTTGAGATCTACGTGGTAAACTCAATTCTCTTATCTGATTTTACTTGTATTTTTTCCTTATTATTTTACCCTATATATGGTCAAAATCCGATAAATGTATAGCTACACATCCTATCTCAGTGTGTGATAATTTTTTGCGTAGATATCAAAAAAATATGCAGATTCTAAAAAAATCGCCTCGATCGAACATCGGAGGCACGATTTAGGTCCGTTTGAAGTTCAAAAATTCACAACTACCCCTTTTACGTTACATTTGGTAAAACTTCAAATGACCGTAACTTCTGCCTCTAATATCTTTTTGGAGGCGATTCTTTTTTTAAAGTTGCTTATTTTTTTGAGATCTACGTGGTAAACTCAATTCTCTTATCCGGTTTGACTTTCATTTTTTTCTTATAATTTTACCCTATATATGCTCAAAAACCGATACAAGTAAAATATAAATCATATTTCAGTATGTGGTGTTTTTTCGCATAGATATCGAAAAAATAAGCAGATTAAAAAGATATGGTCTCGATCGAACATCGAAGGCACGATTTATGTCCGTTTTAATTTCAAAAATTCACAACTACTCGTTTTACGTTACATTTGAAACTTCAAATGACCATAATTTTTTCCTCAAATATCTTTTAGAGGCGATTCTCTTTTTAAAGTTTCCTATTTTTTTGAGATCTACGTGGTAAACTCAATTTCCATATCTAATATGACTTATATTTTTTCCTTATAATTTACCCTATATACGGCTCAAAAATCGATAAATGTAAAACTATAAATCCTATATCAGTGTGTGGTGTTATTACGGGTAGATATAAAAAACAGATAGAAAAAGATCGCCTCAATCGGATATCGGAGACACGATGTTTGAAGTTTAAAAATTCACAACTATCCGTTTTACGTTACATTTGGTAAAACTTTAAATGACGGTATCTTTTGCCTTGAATAGCTTTCAGAGGCGATTCATTTTTTGAAGTTACTTATTCTTTTGAAATTTTACGTGGTAAACTCAATTCCCTTATCCGATTTGACTTTCATTTTTTCCTTATAATTTTACACTATATATGGTCAAAAGCTGATGAATATAAAAATTATAAATTCTATCTCAGTGTGTAGTGTTTTTTCGCGTAAACATCGGAAAAATAAGCAGATTGAAAAAATCCGCGATTGGACATCGAAGCCACGATTTATGTCCGTTTGAAGTTCAAAAATTCACAACTACCCCTTTTATGTTATATTTTGTGAAATTTTAGGACTCGGGAGGGGGGGGGGAAACCTCAGGGAATGAGGACTCGGGGGTGGGGTGGGGGGTCCATAGGGCGTGCGCCTTGAGGAGTCGGGAGGG